AACTATGCCGGAAATAACCCAATCAGGACACGTCACGGGCAGGCAGGCAGTCCTCGACCCTTCCCGGGAGGTCCAGGGGTCCTGGCTCAGTGTCCACCCAGAGGTGACAACTCTAAGAAGGGAGGGGGTTGGGGACACGGGATCACATGGGCAGGGCGTCAAGGACCTGACCGCCTACGACAGGGTTGGTGGGTGGAGCAATGAGAGTGGAATGTCGTGGAGCCCCAGCTTGTGGCTCGGTTACTTTAAGAAGTGGGTGGTGGGTGAAACAGGTGTGGAGGCTGCACGAATAAAAGAACGAACAGGTGAAGCCAGGGAGGATTCGTGGAGAGCTAGTGAGGTAGACGGAGAGGAGAGGGGCGTATCCGCTCGAATTCATCTCAAGCAAGCTCTCCCAGTTGAGGCAAGTGAGTTTTAACTTGACCAACAGCATATCTGAGGCAAACCTGGGTCGATAATGTTCAGCCTTACAACCTGGATTCAATCCACGACTGACTCGGACCCTCCCACAACCCTGAGCGTGACACTGGATTACTTGTTGAGAGCTTTTCTTCCCAGCTCTTGCCCTGAGGACAGTTTTGGTCTGAGGACATGAAGTCAGTGCTTAGGAGGAAGCCAGGCATGCCAAATCAGCTGCAATCTGCCAGGAGTAGTTTGGAGGTTACTCCAGAAGAAGGGGGCACAAACATGATTTAGTAGCAATGACACCGCAGGGAACTGCAAGTTTAACAGCCATGTACACTTCCTTTGACTGGTAAGTACCATCATATGTGTTTAATAGATTAGCCAGTTTTCTTGTATTTAAATAAATGTATTTGTTTTGGTCCTATCTCAGGTACACGAGCAGGGAAATGATTATCTAGATGTACACACTGGGGTCTTAGTTCTCCTGGGAGGGGTCCTTGCGTCAGAAAAAGAAGGTAACTCCTGGTTGTCTGAACCAAGCCTTTAGTTCTAATACAAGGTGTGCAATGATACCTTGGCCAAGTAAATAAATAAAATGCTGTTCGCCTTTACAGTGCTACTGGACTTTTTTCTTGGCAAAACTCCTCTGCTTCAGTTTCCCGGACAGAAAACTGTAAACTGAGAAATGGATAGAAGTCTGGTCAATGAAACAGGCAGACTTTGGTTAGAAGCTGGATGTGTTGTCAGCCATGCATCCCTCCAGTGAGTAGAATGGGCCTCAGGGCTGGAGTACACGCTATAGGTGCCACTGGAATCAGAGCTTTTTTAGAATAACATTTTGGCATGTGACTGCAATCTGCTACTGCACCCCTGTGCATTTCCCTTGTTTGTTTGTGCATGCTCTGCTGCTTAAGAGTCAGGTGAAATGGAAGAAAATCCCCTAAACTGGGGATGTGATGGCATCAGTACCAAAGGTTTGAGTTCTTAAACTACATAAGTGCTTTTTGGGGAAAACATCCCTCCCCCCCCCCCCCCCAGAACTGCACTTTTTGTGTCTGCTTGTGTTGAAAAAAGTCTTCATTGGGATGCTGTTGAAAATCATATTCTCGTGGCAGCTTCTCTCCAGGAACACATTATAAGGTGACTGTGAAACTCACTAGGCCAGGAGTCCCCAACCTTTGTGAGCCCGCGAGCACCTTTAGAATTCTGACAGAGGGTAGTGGGCCCAACACCCCAAGTGGCTACTGTAGGAGGCAAACCACAAATGGCCAGGGGACAGGGTCATGCATGACTCTCATACCCTTCAACATTTAAGGCAGAAGCTGCATTTAACAGGATGCCTTTTAATCTGCACAGGCAATCAGGAGCCCTGCTGGGCTCAAAGCCCACCTGGCCTGGGCCACTTTCGAACAACGCTTGGTGGGCACCAGGTAAGGTGTTAGTGGGCACCCTGTTGGGGACCCCTGTGCTGCATGATCACATCATGAGGAAAGGGAAATGTTGCTATGAAGGATGCTGTTTTGGAGAGCATCGCTGTGTTGTGTGTTGCAGAGAGTGTGGCCCTCAAGAAAACTTTATTCTGCTACAAGCCTCGGCGTTTGACTTTGCAATCACCTCTGCAAGACCTGAAGATTAAACTGAAAACATGTTTTGTATGTCTGTGTGAAGCATTTCCAGGTTTCTTTTCAGAGCAGGCCAAAATATTTATGTAAATATCTATTATTTGGTGTTTAATCTCCAGCATTAACATTCTTTGCAGCTGGGACTGTTTAGCACTGGCAAGGAAAGCAGTCTGCACAGTAACGGATGCAAGAGAAGGTGAAGGGAATGCTCAGCCATAATCCGTTTTATTCAGGGAATTATTTTGTTGCCTCCTGGCTGCGCCTTTATTAACAGCCTCTTTGTTTAGAAGTTAGGTAACTTCTTCCATGCGAAGGGAGTTCTCAAGATCCTAGCAGCCCTGGCACTGCTGTGGTGCCTTTTGCTAACAAAAGCCCTTGACCGAGACTAAGGCCCAATATGCCCTGTGCGTGTGTGATCACGGGGGCAAGGAAAGGCTTGCAGGGGCAGGAGGAGCTTCCAGTTTTCCTCCCAACCCTGCTTTCGGTGGGAGGGCTTTTTGCACCTTTTGTCTGGCTCCACATGTTCTTCCTAGTTTGTCATCTCTTGGTAAAAAAATAGGGATATTTTGGATAGCTGCCCACCATGCGAAATGAAGGGAAAGCACCACTATAAATTTGCTGTCTAGACGAGACTTTAAGGGGACTTTTGTAGAAAAAGCAAGAGGTAAGCCTGTCCCCCCCCTCAACCAATCCTGAGGTCTAGAGATCTTGCACTGGGTAATGCCCCCAAGACTAACCAAAAACTGTTTGGCCCCATCCTCCTGAGCCAGAGGCTCCTCCCCCAGACCCATGTTGAACTCCACCCCTGTGAGCTAGCAGGGTCCCGCCCTGACCCATACAGGGTCCACCTCTGAGCCAGTTTGGTGTAGTGGTTAAGTGTGCGGACTCTAATCTGGGAGAACCGGGTTTGATTCCCCACTCCTCCACTTGCACGTGGCTGGATGACCTTGGGCAAGCCGTAGTTCTGATAAGAGCTGTTCTTCAAAAAGAGCCGTTTCTGTCAAGAGCTCTCTCGGCCCCACCTACCTCACAGGGGGTCTGTTGTGGGGAGGGGAAGGGAAAGGAGTTTGTAAGCCGCTCTGAGACTCCTTTGGGTAGTGAAGGGTGGGGTATAAATCCAATCTCTTCTTCTTCTTCTTCTTCTCTACCTAGATAACAGATCCCCCCACCAATTGTTTTAAAAGTTGGCAGTTCTATATCATAACTTCTATATCTTAACCTGCGATCAGATGGCAGGCTTGGTGTGGTCTGGCCATGCCTCTAATCTCTCCAGAGCTATTTGTTGTGTGACCAGACACGCTACCCTTTAAAAAACCCTCTACTTTGAGCATGTGTAGAACCGCTTATCTGCCATGGGTGGATATGTGGTCATGCGCATATTGCTAACTGAGAAAAAATGGCAGCCAGGGCATGGAAGCCCCAGACCTCCAAACATCTTGAGTGCACAATGGGGTGAATAGAAGGCCGGAAATGTGCGGTGGGACAATTTGAGCTGTAAACAGTGGAATTTCTCCGGCGTCAAGGAAGTCTGGGGTGAGGATGGGAGGAGAGAGATTGGGGAGTGGAACAGAGTGGGAGACAAATGTTACATTAAATCCGGTAGGGAGAAGGGGTGACATCGGACCGAACAGCCCATCTGATAGCACCCTAGATCTTAGTTTTGTGTTGGATGCATGAGTTTATAATGAAGTGAAACAAAGTCCCAGCTCCCAAGTTACCAAGATGAGTTAGTTCTAGATTCAATTTTTGAAGAAAACATAATTTTGTATATCATGCCTCTATTTAGAAAGTTTTGAATCCTGTATTTATATCAGTCCAAATTAGGATTCCATGTACTTCCCCCTTCATCCAAGACAAGGAGAAAACAAAAGGACAGAATAAGCTCTACTAGCAGTTTTGTATGTGGTTGTGATATTTTACTGTACAAATTGCAATTTGATTTCAACACAAAGCTTTTACTTGTTTATATAGTTTTAACTGAATGAGCATCATTGATGAGAACTCAGTAATGTATTTTCCTATTACAGATTCCTCTGAAGAAGCCTGTGGGCGAAAGGCATGGAGAATTTGCAGAATTTTAACTGAGTAATAACATATATATATTTATTTTGCACCATTGGCCTTTATTTTCTAACCCTTCAGCCAATACCACATAAAAGTACATTGGAGGGTCATGTGAGATGCTTTGTGCCTCCACAGGGCAAAGTGGTCCTGTGCATGCAGGAAGCCCTCCATTCACTCCCTGGCTTCTCCAATGAAAGGATCCCGGAGTACCGGTGCAGAGAAAGACTGTTCTCTTTCTAAGAACCTGGGAAGCCACTGCTAGTCAGAGCAGACAATACTGAGCTGGATTGACCAGTGGTCTCACTCCAGAGCAGCTTCCCATGTGCTGAATGAGGCGTCTATGTACAGTTTTTATAAGGTGTGTTTTCATTCCCTTAAATTTTCAGTTAGTCTATCAGAAATGCATTTATTATAGTTGTTTGCATGACTATGACTAATTTTCATTAGCATGAATAAGGAATTATTGTGCCTCTGCTTGGAAGTGTTTAAATCCTGTATTTATATAAAAGTACAAGAAACTGAATCGGTTTCTTCTAGTATGTTGCAGCTTTTTGCTGAACATTCTCTCTCCATACAGAGTGGGAGAAGGTGCCAGAAAAACAGTTTGCTTTGGGAAAAATGGGGAAAATAAGATCAAAAGCTGTCCATGAACTAACATCAAGCAAACAGAAATGTATCAAACAGGAAAACGGGCAGCATATTGAGACTAGGACATTCTGTATTGTTCTTGCCTCTACAAAATATAAAAGCAACTGTTCCTTTCTCAAGAGAAGGAACTCTGTTGAGCACCCAGCACTCTTCTGGGGGGGGGAAAGACAAACCAGGCTTAAAAAAAGAAGAAGAAGAAAAGAGGCCGATGCCCCCTTGGTCTGTATCCAGAGACAATCAAGGAACTTGAACTGCACTTACCTCCTCCATACATCTGACATAAATAGGGAAACCGCCATACATTCCCCAATCCCACTGCATAAGAAATGCAGGCAAACACAAACTGGAAAGGGTTGTCCCATAATGGCCTGGCTTTCTCCATTTCCACTAGCTGAAGTGGAGTGTGCTTCTTCCTTCACCAGGTGCTCTTCAAGCCCTGCTGGAGACGCAGTGCCAACCCAACTCTTAAGGGAAACATGCTCGCCAATTGCCAGCGAGCTTTTAAATTACTAATCTTATTAACAGGCACTTTGTAAAGTGGGGAATGCTGGTAGATAGACTGGCATACACAGGCACACACAACTGGAGTGTAAAAGAGGCTGTCGCCTCCCCGATCCAGGGCTTTCACATCTCATTTTATACCACTTTGCCAATAACAGGTCCGTCAGGCTGGAGAGTTGTGACCCATCTCACCGCCGCCCACACCCTCCTGTTATGTAGCTATACCAGGTCCATTGTCAACTTCAGGTGCGTGAGGTAAAGTGGATTCCATCTTTTTAGTGTGCCTTCTTTTACACACACAGGATGCTTTAATCCTGGACCATCCAGCACATCCAGTCACATTTTAGAGACCAGCAATATTTTGGGGGGATCGGCTTTGAAGAGTATCTGACTAAGGGAGCTTTGACTCTCGAATAGGGTTGCCAGCCGCCAAGGGGCACCTGGAGATCTACCGCTCTTACAATCGATCTCCAGGTTACCAAGATCAGTTCCCCTGGAGAAAATGGCTGCTCTGGAAGGTAGATTCTATGGCATTGTCCCACGGTGAGGCCCCTCCCCTCCCCAAACCCCACCCTCCCCAGGCTCCACCCCCAGAGTCTCCAGGTGTTTTCCAACCCAGAGCTGGCAACCCTACTCTCGAAAGTTTACACCTCCCAAAATCTTGTTGGTCTTTACAGTGCTACTGGACTTGAATCTGGCTGTTCTACTGCAAACCAACATGGCTCTGCCCTCTGAAATCAAGAACCTTTTCTCTAGATCCTACAGAATGTGTAGTTAAGGATAAGATGGAAGTCACATATAGCAAAACACATGTCCCTTTATTTAGATTGTATGTGTGACCTCTAATGCCTTCCCACTGTAGACTGAAAACTGACACAGTTCCCAGATCTGGGAGGCGCGTTGTACATACTTCATGGCTAGTGTTGGTTCTTTCAGCTTATCAGACTTCAAGACAATAACTAGGCAGCTTTAACAATTCCCTGCTTTTTATTCAGGAACAGCACCAAAATCGTGCCTCTCAGAAATCATACACTAAGCTGAGTTAGTGTGAGCTAGCTCACAGTTTTTTAGCCTCCGGCTCACACGTTTTTGTCTTCGCTCAGGAAGGATGGCTTAGGAAGGATAAACTAATTTATGCAGTAGTCGAATCACTCACAACTTTAATGCCAGTAGCTCACAAAGTAGAATTTTTGCTCACAAGACTCCACAGCTTAGAGGGAGCATACTGGACACAATATCTCATATCCCTTCTCCTGCCAGACCTCCTCTGTTTGTCTATTGGTTGTTACATAAGAACATAAGAGAAGTCAATGTTGGATCAGGCCAATGGCCCATCCAGTCCAACACTCTGTCACACAGTGTCCAACAATACCAGGTGCTATCAGGAGGTCCATCAGTGGAGCTGGGACACTAGAAGCCCTCCCACTTTTGCCCCCCCCCCACCAAGCACCAAGAATACAGTGCATCACTTGCCCCAGACTGAGAGTTCCTATCTATACCTTGTGGCTAATAGCCACTGATGGACCTCTGCTCCATGTGTTTATCTAATCCCCCCTTGAAGCCATCCATGCTTGTAGCTGCCACCACCTCCTGAGGCAGTGAATTCCATGTGTTAATCACTCTTTTATCTGTTCTAACCCGACTGCTCAGCAATTTCATGGAGTGCCCACAAGTTCGTGTATTATGAGAAAGGGAGAAAAGTACTTCTTTCTCTACCTGCTCTATCCCATGCATAATCTTATAAACCTCGATCATGTCACCCCTCAGCCGTTGTTTCTCCAAGCTAACGAGCCCCAAGCGCTTTAACCTTTCTTCATAGGGAAAGTGTTCTAACCCTTTTATCATTCTGCACTTTTCCCAATGCTATATCCTTTTTGAGATGATGTGACCAGAACTGTACACAGTACTGCAAATGAGGTCGCACCATTGATTTATACAGGGGCATTATGATACTAGCTGATTTGTTTTCAATTCTCTTCCTGATAATCCCCAGCACAGTGTTGGCCTTTTTTATTACAGTCGCACACTGTCTCGACATTTTCAGTGAGTTATCTACTACGACTCCAAGATCTCTCTCTTGGTCAATCTCTGTCAATTCGGACCCCATCAACGTGTATTTATAGTTAGGATTTTTGGCTCCAATGTGCATCACTTTGCACTTGGCCACATTGAACCCCTGTTACCCCCTCTGTTACCCCCCTCAGGGTCCCCCCCCCAACTCCAGCATTCTATTCAGCCTGTTTGAATCCAATTGGTCTGCAATGAATGGGGAGAAATGCCAACAGAATCTTCTCTTGTCAGTCATACAGGCATACTGGTCAAATACGTGTTTGGTTTTTGACTGGGCATTTCTGGGAAAGAGCTGAAATGTGGCCATTTAATTCTGCCCCATGCTGACTTTATACTGAAAACACTGCACAAATTAATACCGGAACCAACTCATGGGGTTTTGGCAACTCCTTATACCTGTCAAGAAACAGGCAAGACATCTTGTGCTTAATAATTTGTGATACAGCTCACAGCACAGTATGGGTTTGGGTTAATGCACTCACCACCTTACAAATAATTAATTTAATTTGTAAATTACCTTCCTGAAAAAGAGTTTTCCTAACATCAAAAAGATTCATGAACAACTTTTGATCAGTAAGGGATTAAGAAAAAGGGGGGGGGGTTTAAAAATGAACTAAATCAAACAAATGCTGTGGGGGGGGTTATGTGTGAGAATTTTGGTCTTTAGCAGACCAAGGTTGGCAGCAATCCCACATTGGGAGAGAGGCCCGGGCAGTGACTGTTGGTGTGCACACTGGAGGATTATACTTATACAGGCTCTTTTTGTAGCAGGAACTCCTTTGCATATTAGGCGACACACCCCTAATGTAGCCAATCCTCCAAGAGCTTACAGAGGTCTTCTTACAGGGCCTACTGTAAGCTCTTGGAGGATTGGCTACATTAGGGGTGTGTTGCCTAATATGCAAAGGAGTTCCTGCTAAAAAAAGAGCCCTGCAGCCCTATTCATTTATGAAATGTCTGAAGGCATGATGGGAGTTTTATCACGGAGATGGTTCTATTTCCCTTCTTTACTGTGTTCCCCCAATGCTATTCTGTGCGAAAGGGAAGGAGAGGATCAGCAGCAGTTATAAAGTCACAGTTTTCAGGACTACGTATCATGGGGGTTTGACTACCCACCTCTAGAGGTTATCTCTGGCAACGGAAGCTTCAGATACAGTGTCTTGGTTCTAAAATAGAGGAAGGGAAAATGATGTAACATAAAGAAAAGGAGGTATCCACAGCCACCTCCACAAACCGTTGGTTAATTGGCCACCACTTCACCACTTCATAATAAAGTTTACAAAATATTTTTAAAAAAAATATCCTGGATCAATAGTGTGTGTGTTTTTTTAATTTTTAAATTTCACCCCTTCAAGTAATTGATTGAACATATGGAAATACCTTATATTGAATCAGCGAAATTGACAAAACAGGGTTCGCGGTGAATTAAACCGCAAAAGAACAACACTCACTGCGATGGGTAAAACCTTAATGTATTCTGCCAAAAGTTATACACGTATCCAATACATACATTACATAAACAACCGTAGCTTTCAAGTTTTCACCATATATTTGAAGATCTTGCAACTATATAACTTATTTTCTAACTGAAAACCTCAACAGTAATCAATCGAACACTGTATATATGGGGTATCTTTACAATCCAGTATTCTAATACACTGCAGTTACTCTTCATTAAACTGTACACAGTCTTCTTGGGAATGAATTCTTCCACAGCATATTTGTGCAAGTGAACTCGAAGCCACCTGGCCAGTCAGGGCAGTGGTGCTGGGGCCATGGGAGCACCCTAGATAATAGCCTAGTGCTGCCTTGCAGGCAGGATATTCCTGACCTAAACACTCCACCTAAACATTCCACCTAAAACACTCAAAGAAAGAGATCTCCTGCATCCCCAAAGTAGTGGTTACAAAGTAGTGGTTAAGTACAACAGAGTGCAAAGTACTCTGTAGCAATGTTCCCTCTAAGCTGTGGAGTCTTGTGAGCAAAAATTCTACTTTGTGAGCTACTGGCATTAAAGTTGTGAGCAAGCGATTTGGCTACTGCATAAATTTGTTGTCTCTGCAGCCATCCTTCCTGAGCTAAGCCAAAAACGTGTGAGCCGGAGGCTAAAAAACTGTGAGCTAGCTCACACTAACTCAGCTTAGAGGGAACACTGCTCTGTAGTGGTTAAGTACAAAGTAGTGGTTAAGTACAACAGAGAGCCAGTTTGGTGTAGTGGTTAAGTGCACGGACTCTAATCTGGGAGAACCGAGTTTGATTCCCCACTCCTCCACTTGCATCTGCTGGGTGACTTTTGGCAAACCGTAGATTTGGCACAGCTGTTCTTGAAAAAGAGCAGTTTCTGTCAGAGCTCTCTCAGCCCCACCTACCTCACAGGGTGTCTGTTGTGGGGAGGGGAAGGGAAAGGAGTTTGTAAGCTGCTCTGAGACTCCGAGTGAAGGGCGAGGTATAAATCCAATCTCCTCCTCCTCCTCCTCTTCCTCTCCTCCTCCTCCTCCTCCAACAAACAACTCACATCAACAAACAACTCACAAACAACAAACATCAGTGTACTTCCTTCTCTGTCTCTTTCAGAATCTCCACCACCACACACAAATCCCTAGAGGGAAGGTCACCTCTCCCAAGCCCTGATGGGAGATGTCTTCAGTCATTAATGTACCATCATTATCATTTTTTTGTTATGGCTCTGGCTTTGCCAAGGTATGCCACTTTAGACCAAGCCCATAGGACAACTCATTCATAAATTCCAAGCTTATAATACCATAAAGGTAAAGGTAAAGGTTCCCTTGCTCGAAAGCCAGTCGAATCCGACTCTAAGGT